CTCAGTTGAACTGTACTGCTTTATTGTGGGTATATGCTATAGAGTTAGGGTTATGGGGGGTTACTTACAGTAGCTTACTTTCGCTTCCTTTATCTTAATTGTTTTGCGGGTTTTTAATTATGTTTAAATAGACGTATTACTGTTTTTAATTATATTTAAATAGATTTATTACTAATTAGATAAATTTCATTTGTGGTAATTATGTTTTCAGTCAATGTCAGTCACGTAATTATAATTCAATTTTCTTCAATCCGATACTAAATTAACTTAATTTCAATCAGGTAACTCCTCGTTAATTTGATTTCAATTAGGTAACTAAATTTTTATTTGATTTCAACTCCATCCAATTTTTCCTTATTGCTTATAGTCACGTGGATTGGGTCACGTGAATTGGGATGATGTCGTAATATTCGGCAGTCTGCCACAAGTTGGTGCATATATTTTGACAGTTCTTTGATCTCTGGAAAAAGTAAGAAACAAGTACGCGTTTCTAAATTTTCCACCGAATTGAATACTATGGGATGTCGGTTACTTGTTCTGAGATTGTATGGCTTAGTAGGCTTTTGGCTGTGCTTAATTTTTCTCAATATGATCATACTCCCTTTCATGATAACAACACTAGTGTCATTCAAATAGCTGCTAGTCTTGTTCATAAGCATACGAAGCATATTGAGGACGATCAATCTATTCGGGAAGCCTTGGACACTTGTGTCATTTCTCTTCCACATGTTTTCACTTATCTCCAAATAGTGGGAATCCTTACGAAGGCCATGACACGATATCACCATCAGTCCTTTATAGGTAAATTGATGCTTCTTGATCGACATGCATCACCTAGAAATGGGTGTTAGCTAGATATCCTAGCTATAATTAGTCTCTATTTATGGCATGATTTTGTATTATTCTTTGCCATAATTAGTGTCTTTATCCATAACATAGATTTTATATTATTCTATGCCATAAATAGAGACATCTATTTATGGCATGATATTGTCAATATCTTGTAATTAGTAAGATAGAAGTTGATTGTTGTATTTGCTGAAATTCAACCTTGTAATTAGCTAGACATTATCTATATAATGAGAGGAACCCTCATAATGTGAAGTATTCAATGCAATCGACACGAAACTGGCAAGGACAAAGGCGTCCTAATTCTTTGGGAGAATGGGTGGTTGTCGACATCATCGTCCTATTCAAAAGACCTAGTTGATTTGTCCTCGTTCTCCTCATCTGCTTGATATCAAGGTGGTAGTTGATGGGGTTAGAAGCTTGTAGATTGCTCCCTTGCCACCAGTTCAACAATTCTCCTTTCCCATCTATTTCTAGGTGGGTGATCATTTTGCGGCCTATTTCTATGCATTTGTTGATAAGGCCTAAATTTGAGAACCTCATCTTGAGACCCATTTTTAGGTGCTCCGGTTCCCAACTAATGAAAGACACTGACGCACCTATGAGTTCTCTGCTCTCGTTCGTAGGTAATAGGGAAGTTGTCTTCTCCATCGAATGGTCATTCACAGGTTGACCTGCTAGGCAATTTTAGGGGACATCGATCCCTACTTCATTTTGCATGGTTCAGTTTTGCTCCGTAATACTCCTCATGTTGGCGGCATTGATGCCACCTCTCTAGTGAGGCATACAATGACTCTTTCACCTTTATGATGATGAGGTCTTGGTGGTGGTTGGTTTCGCATTAAGGGCCCTCTTTTTCAGTGATCTCCCTCACCACTCCTTGTGAATTTACGTCGTATTCACTAGCACTTATGTTGGTAAGGCGCCTCTTTTCTTTAAAGAGGATCTTCTTGAGCAATTTTTTCTACAAAATTTGTCCTTTCTTTAAGGAAAACATATAACACTTTGCCTCTCGTGAACTTTTTGGGACTAAAAGGCTGTATATGAAAAACACTTAACAACTTTTTTTTCAAAACTTCCACTTGTTCTTTTTTCAAGAACAAAACTTCAGCGGAAAGTTTATGTACTTTCCGGTAAGCTTTTCTCACGAAATTTACTCGTGGTTGAATTGTCTCACGGATTGTACGAATCTGTAACCTTACTTTTCAGCTCGACAACATTGTCAACAAATCTCAGTTCCGCTCACGTCCATGTATAAGGCTCCTGCACACTAGAACAAATTGTTAGATGCCATTGCCTTCTTCGGAGGTCGGAAAGGCGATCACGAACACTTCGATGGTCAAGTTAGTCAACTATATGTGCATATATTGGGTGTGAGATGAAGAGAAGACGTAAGCTACAAGAGTGTGTACGAACATTGATTGTAGAGAGAAAAATACCAAACAAGATTATTATTGAGAGTATAAAATTGTATTACCTGTAAATGACACTAAAAATACTAAACAAGATTATTATTGAGTGTAAAATTGTATTACCTGTAAATGACACTAAGTGTGAGCTTTTATAGTAAAAGAAGAAAATGAACTACACATGAACTCATCGTGGAGGTCAATTCGCCACCATTATAGGCGTCACCTCTACAATCCTAGGTTCATATGATATTTAATGATTATGAAAAGTAACCACCTTATAACTTATGTTTGACATTTGAAAAGTAGATTGAGAAGAGTCCATTGTAGAGATGTTAAATCAATCAATCGTATGGAAGATCTCGTACGATGGATCTCTTGGATGAGGCAAAGCTATAGGCGATGCCTTGTGGGATTGAAGTCTTTGTCGCTTAGGAAATAGGCTGCAGCAGAACGTAGCACCTCACCTCAATCATGAAGCTGCATGTACATGTCGCCTCAGCTAAGGTGAAGGCATTACTTTGTCATTCTTTTTTTAATGACCTCATTTAGGCCAGGTAAGCGAGTGAAGCGGAGTGCAGGCCTTATGCGGCTTCTTAGTTGGCTGCCACGTGGCCAGTGATGGGATGAGGCGTAGCAAAAATAAATTATGCAGAGACCAATTATTACGTGAACTCAATGTCTGCTATATTTACTGCAAAACATCTGCTGCATTTGCCTATTTTCCTCTGTACATTCTTGTTTCTTTTATTCTACATGCTAGTTAAGAGGGGAGAGCAATAGATGGTGCCCGTTAGTTTACTAATGATTACTTTCTTTCCCTTTATTTCTTCCACCTCAAATTCAAACTGACATTTCTTTCTGCAGCTTGATGAATCAGCTACAGAGGGAAAACAGACACGGATAGAAATATGGCCACAATGTTTAATATCCTAAGAAGACGTCCGAGTCGAATATGGTTTTCAAATTAAGTTCTGAATTAGTGGATGTTGCCAAAGGGAGTGGAATTAGTGGATGCTGCAAAAGGGAGTGGCATGCAATATGCAAAAAGGAAGAGACTCATAAAATGGCACAGGCAAATAGAGCTTTTGCACATTTTCGTTAACCCATGAACGGGATCTATACATCTCAATCGGAAAAGAATCAAGAGAAAAAGAAAGAATCGGAATTGACCGATAAATTTATTGAAACAAATGAAAATGAAAGATGAAACATAAATCATGAATCAACTAAGCCCTCTTGGGAACTTTCTTAAAGAGGAGCCTCATGTAAATACCATGGAATAAGGTTTGATCTTGATTCTATAGAAGGATCAGCATATTTTCATCCCATTCAAGGTTTCTTTTATGTCTATATGTTTGTTCAGATCTGGATTCCTTAGCTTCATGTCTCATACATTAAATTTTGATATTTGATAATGAAATTTGAAAATATTAATTCTTACGAGCTTCTTGTTCTTGACTTGTTATTAATGTTGGATTCTGTTGAGGAACTAATGCCACACTGGGACGAGGTGAACATATGCAACCAAAATCAGATTCTGAAGAAGCTCAAGCAATAAATCCTACAACACCGATAAAAGAAATTGTCCAGGAACCCAGGTTTGGTTAAGCACGTCTGCAGTTGAAGACTCCTCCTGAAAATCTAGATTCAGATGCTTCTCAGCTTGCAATTCTGAAAGGTAAGAGAAAGCTTCTATGAGACAGGCACACTTTTGTGGGAGATTATATCACCTTTAGGTCGAGAGAATGCAACTGGAATTTTTGTAAGAAAATATTGGTAGTCTGGTTGTTTAACAAGTTTTCCAAGCCAATGGCTCTTTGGTTGAAGAATTAATTTGAGTTGTGGCCAAACTATTTATTGTATGGATCTTCTAACTTTATTTTGTACATAGGGTGATGGTAGCTTTCTTTCTTGCAACTTTTCTCTTCCTTAGCAATTTTTTTATTTTTTTTACTACGACACTTGAAACTATAGTGAGGACAACAATGGGGGTTATGTTCAGTTGGAAATTTAATGTTACCTTTTATCTTATACTACTTAATTACTTTCAAATGAAATTACGCATCTATATTTTTGGAGTTAGAGTTAGTTCATGTTTGCTAAGCAATAGTTGGTAGTAATCTATAGTTGAATCTGGAAAATTAAGGGTCTGTCTGGCCCCGCTTCTACCAATTGATTTTTGGAACGTTGCTTCCTCTGATGGGACCCATGCAAGAGAGAACTAGTCAACAAAGGTGGGCTGATTTGGTGCCCAACGGTCAGAAAAATGGCATTTCTTGGTTTTGAACGGTAGGAATGTTAATTATAATCAATCACAGACAGCCTCTAAACATTCTTTTGCCATATTGTTGCAATGTCTTGAAACAGATAATCTCGAAATTGAAAACTAGTTACTTATTTTCAAAGTAATTCTTTCAAACCAAGCAACCTTTTTATCTTATTATAAGTAACATTACCAAACATCTTTAAAATTAAATTCATTCTCTTTTAAACTTAATCCAGAAGTTGCGCAGCAGCCAAATTATACACGGAACAAGGGCCAAAGTGATCAGAATTTGTTACGGTGTATTACAAAATACTCAGTACAATTCCTCTAAAACCAAGCATATTGTTGCAATCAAATTGAAATGCTCACACAGTTCTAGTTCTCCGAGAATACAGCGACGAAGAAATAAACAGCCCAACATTTATTTGGATGTCCAAAATTTTCATTAAACTCGCCCTGATGAACATAAACTCTTAAATTTTGTCGGCTTTTGGAATGTCAAGATCTCGAAATACTGGGCTATCAACTCCCACTCCCATTGCATTAAGGCCATTGTCAACATAAACCACAGCACCAGTGATAGCAGAAGCCAATGGAGATGCCAGAAAAGCAGCAGCATTCCCAACCTCCTCTGTTACATTTATTTTGCATTTTAGTATTTCGCAGAAAAAATAAAATAAAATTCTGGGGCTGGATGGGGATTCTAGCAAACTATGATTAATTACAATAGATAATAGAACCATGGTGAAGTATCTTAAAGTTTTGATATAAGAAGAAGAAAAATAATCCAGCCTAAATTGGATGACAAGTCCATTGACTCACCAGCAGTAAGTTCCTTCTGCAAGGGAGCATTCTCCAATGAATAATTGATCATCATGTCAATAAAACCAATAGCTTTCGCAGCACGGCTTCTTAATGGACCTGGTATATTATTACAATTGAGACCATTAACATGTAATTTCATATCACTCGTTTCAATTTTTATTTTGTTTTTTGAAGAACCCCATCTTGGTTTCTAAATAATAGATTGGACATTATCAATGAGTTGCACACATTAGAGTAATCTGAACGAAAGCTGGGACTCAATACAGTTTTTCAAGTCGAAAATTTTTTCATCGGAAGCCCAAAATGTTGTTACTTAAATCATCTTTATGATTTACAGAATCAATACCTGCAGATATGGTGTTGACTCTGATGTTGTGTTTTCTTCCAGCTTCAAAAGCCAGAACCTTAATGAAGTGCACATGTTTAATAAGCCTTAATCAGAAGTAGAAGAAAATAAAAATATTATAAACCCGGAAACAGGAAATACTCACCTTTGTGTCACTCTCAAGAGCAGCCTTTGCCGAACTCATGCCGCCTCCATATCTGCAATAGACAAGGTAATCTCAAAATGGAAGGAGACAGATTGAAACTGATTAGGCTATTTGAAGATATATGTACCCTGGTATAATCCTCTCAGATGCAATGTATGTTAGTGAAATTGTAGAACCGCCTGTGACATCATAACCAGAAAAAGATTAGCAAAAATGGTACTAGCTTGTGAGTGAGAGTAAAATTTTGCCTTTTGTCGTTGAAATGTACAGACCAAGACATGGATAAAAAGGATACCTGGATTCATGATGGGAATGAAGTGTTTGAGTAAAGAAACAAAGGAGTAACTTGATGCGGAGATGGCTGCAAGATAACCGTATCTAGACGTCTCCAAAAGAGGCTTGCTAACCTACATGAAGTGTCCTAATAATTAGAGGAAAATTGTGATCCCACAACAACAAAAGAATGATAAGAAAATCAAGAACGAAAAGAGAGTACCTCTGGACCATTGGCAAGTGAATGCACAAGGATATCAATGGTACCAAAATCCTGTTTCACTGATTCAGCAACTTCCTACAAGACAATATAGATCCTTTCAGCATTTTGATATTATTAACTCAAATATCTGCTCATATTCATATAACAAAAGTGGGACAAATAAAGTGCTACTCATGGTCCATTGGAAAAAGTATCATCTTGTGCTGCGAAAAAATGGAAGCTAAAGGGTTTGATTCAAGTTTCTTAAGCCATAACAATGTAAAGCCCCTATTTGGTATAGATAAAAATTAGATTTTTTTAGTAGATTTTGATAAAAGTTGAAGGAACGTTTGGTTGAAAAATTGTGGATCCAATGAAATGTGTGGTTAAAATTAATTGTTAACTTTAACTTAGATTTTAATCAGCTTTTTTGGCTGGGCCAAATGGGGGCAAAGTGTAAGAAAATCTGCTGAAAATCATTTAGTTAAACAGATAAACGGTACAGAAGATTCCAATTAGCCAACTTCATCAGCCAATATGGTGAAAAATGACCTGGCACCATGGAGCCTGGTAGAACCTTGCTCAAGCTCCCATGAAAGTACTAAAAGAAAAGCCTGGAAGAAAAGGAAAAAAGGATTTAGAAGGTAGTACCTTGACTGTCCAATTTGAAGATCCTGCATAGCGTTTATTTGTTTTCACCTGCATCATAGCACAAAATAATATTTCCGAATAATATAATTCACTTGCAAAATTTCAGAAAAATATATAGTACATCTTCAGGAACATCCTCTGGACAGTCATAAACTGCATCCAATGGGTAGACTTTTGTGATTTCCATCAAAGAACCATCAGGCAACCTGAGACATAAATTCCAAATAAGCGATCTATTGACCTAAACAAGAAATGCAAGTACACATGAACAACTTTGTACTTACACTCGAGATTCATCAAACTTTCCACGTCGTAGACTGGTCTCAAAAATATTGAGTGCCTAAGAGACATAATTTCATTAGGAAGAAACAGATCTACAGAATCTTGCAATAATTCTCACGAATTGAAACACCATAAATTCATTAGATCACGTACAGGAACCCATGTACCAACAAGAATCTCAGCACCGGCAGCTGCAAGAGATTTTGCTATTGCCCATCCATATCCATTATCATCAGCTATACCAGCGATAAATGCCCTCTTACCTGCAGCCAGTGCTACATGTATCAGTGAAGTTCGTAATCATGATTATGCTTGGAACCAAATTCAGTATGATATGCTAAGTTTTTTCACTTGGTTTTTTTCCTGAGAGTTTACGAGTATGCTTGTCAACTGTTTATAAACACTTTCCAAACAAAATCTTAGTTAAAGGTAACACACAACGTTATGTTATTTGAAGAAATAATTTTCTCATACCATTCAGGCATTCACAAGCACCCAAAATAATCACTGTTCAAATACATGATGGCTAAGGATCTAGCTAGCTAGTAAATCCTATGCAACTATACCTCTTTGAAATGTGTAGCATCCGGAGAGCAAAAGTAAATTTGCCATACATACAGAAAGTAATCTAATTCTATTTAGAAAAGACATATGAGAGCAATCTATACATTCGAGGCAAATATATTAGAACAGTGTTAAGACAATCGAACTCGGTAAAATAAAACTTAAGGTAATTTATTAAAAACAAATCCAGTAAACTACTGTCACATACACATTCCTGAAAGGGAAAAAAATGGATGCACAATTTTGTAAGGTTTAACCTCTCAAATCAACAGGCAATCCAGGCAAAGGCTGTTTATCACTTGCTCCAGACACTGCTTTAATAAGATTCCTTCCAGATTTTAAAAGGTTGCAGTTGAGGCTTTTGGAAAATAACTCTGTCGTTGAGATGAAAGACGAGCTTCGAATCTCCGCACAAGTTATGCCTTTGACTTCATTACCAAAGCATGCAGCAATGCTTGAACTGGGAGTTCTACGTGCTGCAGAAATGCAAGGTTTTAGCATTGCAATTTGTGTGCTAGGAATTGCAGTTCCAGCCATTGGTTTTAAGTTGAAGGATTCTGCAAGATATGTCCAACAAAATTTGATGACATTAAATATTGACAAGAAAAAAAAAGGACAAGTTGATGCAGAAAAACAAAAGAAATTAACAGAAATACTTAAGTCACATCCTACTGTCGTAACCCATTTGATGATTAGTCAGACAAACATATATAGCCCAGTTTTAAGTATATTAGACTGTAGTCAGAAAACCTCAATTGACACTTTACAACAAGCATTGTCCTTTTTCAATCGGTGTAAGTTTTGAAATGTAAATATGTGACATTTTTTTTTATTGAAATTGAGTACATAATCCCTCTTAAAATAAATGCAAATTGTTGATACATCAATCAAATTGAGTACATATTCCCTCTTAATCACTCAAATATAGATCAAGAAACCTATAAATACTGCAGATACAAATCAAACTCAAATATTTAAAACGATTTCACATTCAAGTGCTTAGTTAATGACATTAGAAGCCAATCATGAATTAGGCGGCACAATCATTTCAGCCAAACAGGCATGAAAAATTGACTACCCAACAAAGATCTGGTAAAGAAAACAACAATAACTAGTAAATTCAAAATGTTAAGCTCAAGACACAATCAACATTGGATCAAAATGATATATATGAACCCACATTCGTTATACACACAAACATATCATAGCTCGCATTTATTAAAGAAATAAAAACTTCCGAACTCACGTTTTCTTGAAAAGCTTTTAGAGAGACAGAGCGGTATTGAACATGCTTTTGGTTGAAATATATGAAAGTTTGTTCGTTAATATGAACGAAGAAATGTGGGTTTCGATGAAAACTATGCGTTTTGTTGTTTGTTGGGTTGGTTTGGACTGTTGGGAAGCTTTGAAAATGCCGTTCGTAGAGTGAGAGAATGGGAATGCCTGCTTGGAGAAAATGACAGTCTTGCCCCTCTTTTGCTGGGCTACAATGTTCTGATTGTTGTGAGTTTGGGCTTTCAAGATTGTTGGCCCAACTTGTCAAAAATCTTTCCGGCCCATATCTTATTATTAGAGATTAATTTCGGAAATAGCACTATGCCCCTGTTTGGTTTTGTTAGAGTTAATGAATTTAATAAAAGTTGATGAAATATGTAGTTGAAAAGTTGATAAAAATTTTGAGTCTCATGAAATATTTGATTGAAAATGACTTTGACGAAAAATGAATTTGAAAAAATGGGAGTGAAACAAGACTAAAAAAACGAAAGGAAAGTTATCAGTCTTTGTTTCTTCTGACCTCTAGGGTTGTCGAATTTTTGTTATTTCAAAATTTTCACCTCCTACATTATTTGATCATACTATATAAACACATTGATTCCAATAGATTGGGTCGATGTGGTTCTATCAAGGTTTAGGCAGAGTCTGCAAAAAAGTGGAAGGTTTGATATCGTGGCTGCAATTTTTCCTTATTTTTTTGTTGCACAACAGAATACAAGAAGGAATGTCTCAATTCTTAACTGTAGTCGCCTTTCACCTTTTTAGAAGACTTTGCACTATGCAAGGTTTTCGTAATAGATATTCAACATTGAATATCATCCCCTTAATTTCTAGTAATACCATTCATTTGGATTGTATAAAATTATTTCATCTAAAATAGATTTAGAGAATTTTAATAATACTATTTAGGTTACTTCTGATGCATGGTCTAAATGTAAAAATAAGATGTAGTGATATACACAGTGTCAACAATTTATACCATTGATTGATAGTGAAGAATTCGATAAAACTAATAAATAAGAATACAAAGATATATTTGGTTTGTCAGTGTGGTAAGCCAACATCCATGAAAAAAGAGATAAGATTGTATTGTGTTCATTTATAATTGTAGTTTACAATGACACACATATATATTGTCACATTACATCAACGTTGTGTTATTAAGGATGAGACAATCAAGAAAAGAGATAACAAATTATAGAAATATTCCAATTTCAGTAAACTAAATCACTCACAGTATATTCTTCATTATTATCAAATATTTTTCAAATCATGCTGTTGTCCAATATTAGCAATTATCCTTTAGATATCATCAAATGTCTCTCTTTTCCAAAATATTGAAAGAGCCCAACTTAGAAAATATTTCATGAAATTCGACAACGGATAAGCCTTTGGTGAAAATGTTAGCTAACTCTTATTTGGCCTCCATTAAAATTATAATATATTTTTATTTATCTTCTTTTCAACTACGCATTCTTTGAGAAAATAATATTACATGTATACCAAAAACTTTTCATTTTTTTCAACCATTCATTCTTCCAAGTGATCCTTTGAGATAGTGTAAAATACGATTTGCAACATCCATATATGCAATTTATGGAGAATGCATGAAGCAACAACCAGGTTGACAGCATATGAGATACACATGTCGAGTGATTGTGAGGTAGATCAGCTTGCCCACCAATCTTTGAAATTGACCCATATTAAATAATAGGTCACCACCAAGTGTTCATTTTAAATCACACTTCATGGCATCTTAGCTCGCTTGGCACCTCATTCGTCGGTGTCTTTTAGGGATAGAAACGGTTCGGTTCGGTGTTGGTTAGACCAAAACCATAATCGCACTACCAAATTTTTGGCTATACCATAACCACGTAAGTCGGTTCAGTTAGGCTCGGTTCGCATTTCAGTTCGATTCAGTTAATAACCGCGAAAATAAATTATTTTTTATAAATCCAAACTTCAACCGTCAAATTAAAAAAAAATTATGAAGAAAAATCAATAGAAACAAAAACATAATACTAAGCAAATTTAGCAAACAATATCCCAACTTCCAAATGCAAAATTCAAATTTAACAAACAATATTATCAACATAGGTCAAGACTCTTACTAGCATATGTCAAACTTCATTCTTCCCCACAACTTTTACTAACATAGGTCAAAACTCAATACTCAACGTTGATTCCTATATAGTAAATAAGAAATGTAATTAGAGTAATAATACAATTATACTACCTAATTAAGAATGGTCTTCACTGAAAATTTAAACAAAAAAAAATGTACCCCTTTGTCAATATCCTCATCACTAAACCTTGGACAAGTTCCCGAGTACGATGAAGGAGCAGAATTTTCTACACACAATAGAAAAAAATTAGCAATAAAAGAAAGTGCATAAATAACAAATATAAAACAATAAATCCTACCATGAATTGTACAGAGATGATGGTTTGAAACCAATGGACATAGAAAAACTCAGGGAATGTGCTCACAAGATAGTAGACTTCGTTGCTGATTACTACAATTTGAAGCTGAGGTACAGGCAGCAGAGCGCCGGCAAATCTGATATGGTTCATTGGTTGAGTAACTTCATTGCTGATTACTACAATTTGAAGTTGAAGTACATGCAGCAGAGCGCCGACGGATCTCATTTGGTTTATTGGTTGAGTGGACGAGTGTTTTGTAAGTTTGAATTCCAATTTTCAATTTTAACGTGTAGGATTGGGTTACTAAGTTAAAGGTTTACTAGTTATGTTAATTGGACCAGAATTTCGGGAAAATCCAATTGTCAAAATTGCCCAATTAATTTTGGGAAAGAATAATGAAAAACCCAACTGCCCAATTAATTTTTTTTAACAAATAATCCATTCGTAACAGGGCACCATCGCTAAATATCATACCCGCCTCACCCCGAACCAGGTCATTAAAATCAAAACAATAACCACCACATTACACCATCGGTTTAATTTTTTTTCCCCCATTCAGTTCGGTTAATCGCGATTTTCGATTTTAACAGTTCGAATTGTCATCCCTAGTGTCTTGTAAAAGATCCAACTCTTTTTTTCTTTGATTGAGAAATATGCCCTTCTTTGAATATGCAATCTCTAATCCAAGAAAATATTTCAAGATTCCCAAATTGTTAAATAAAAAACTGAGTATGAAGAATTTTTTAGTCTTGATATTTCAGCGAAATCATTCACCGGTAATAACTATGGGCCTATTTGAGTCCCATTTTTGGTGGAAAATACATTTTAGAATAGTATATTGATGAAAAATGAATTGTTAATAAATGAAGAAAAAGTTTTTGAGTGCAAATAATATTATTTTGTTGAAAAATATGTGGTTGAAAATAAGATAAAGAAAAACGTATCTTTTTTTAAAAAAAGGGAATCAAACAAAGGTTACATCATCAACTAGTTCAAAAAAATAATAGTATCAATCATACCTCATTTTATGAACAAGGAAGAATAAGCATTACTCATCTTTAAACCACTCTTGACAAGGACTGAATTTGATATACCATGCACGAGGTGATTGTTTAAGACCATATATAGATTTTCTTAATCTACATGTGAGATCACTACAACTCTCCAATGGATGACATAGATGTATACTCATGTAAACTTCTTCTTGAAGATCATCATGTAAAAATGCATTCTTCACATCTATATGAACAATTTACAATCTAATTGACTACTATAGATAAAAGATCACAAAACATGTTTATTCTGGTTATAGGAGCAAATATTTCACTGTAATTAACTCCATAAGTTTGGGTGAAACCTTTTACAATAAAACATACTTTATATTGTTCATCACTTCAAATTTGATTTTATAAATCTAACAACACCTAATTGCGTTATTCCTAAAAGGAGTTTTACAATGGACCAAGTTTTGTTGTCATTTTGGGCTTGTAACTCTTCATTACTTGCTTGTTTCCAAATATGACTAAATTTCCTTCTCTAAAATTATTCGGTTCTTGAGTTGAAGACAACGAAGTTAAAAAAGTTGAATGAGGTAAAGATATGTAGGAGTATGATAGATGAGCATGTATAAGTTATAGATTCATAAGTAACAAAGTCCTTTAATTTTTTGGAGTCTTGGACATTGTATTTAACCTTCAAAAAACTCTTCGAGGGCATCAGGTATAGCAATAACATGTTCTAGAACATCAAGCGCAGTTGGTGATAAATAACATTCGGTGTCTCTACTACCTCCATCCTGTTCGATTCTTCATGTACCTCCAATGTGTATCACAGTTTTAGTTTGTCGGTGGTTGCAATGTTGGAAAAAGATGTCCATACAATGAAAGGCGGAAGCAGATCATTCAAACACTCCCTTGACATAAATTTTTTTTTGAACTTTGTGCCTAAAAATATGGTTCATTTTTATCAAACCGCACATCTAGTGATACAAATAGCTTCTGATATAGAGGATCATAGCATGCGTATCCTTTTTTGTCAAAAAATATCCGAAGAAGATATATAGGATATAATGAGGATCAAGTTTTTCATGATGCAAGGTCTAGTGGTGCACATAGCAAACACATCCAAGTACTCGAAGATAAGACATGCCGGGCTTTCTCTCTTTAATTTGATGTTCAGGTACAGGCAGCAGAATGTCGGCGGATCTGATTTGATTCGTTAGTTGAGTCAACGAGTGTTTTGTAAGTTTGATTACCAATTTTCAATTTTAACGTGTAGGGTTGGGTTACTGAGTTAAGGGTTTACTAGTTATGTTAATTGGGCCAGAATTTCGAGAAAATTCAATTGTCAAAATTGCCCAATTAATTTTGGGAAAGAATAATGGAAAACCCAACTGCCCAATTAATTTTTTTTTTTAACAAGTAATCCATTCGGAACGGGGCACCATTGCTAAATATCATACCCGCCTCACCCCGAACCAGGTCATTAAAATCAAAACAATAACCACCACATTACACCATCGATTCAATTTTTTTCGCCCCATTCAGTTCGGTTAACCGCAATTTTCGATTTTAACAGTTCGAATTGTCATCCCTAGTGTCTTGTAAAAGATCCAACACTTATTTTCTTTGATTGAGAAACATGTCCTTCTTTGAATATGCAATCTCTAATCTAAGAAAATATTTCAAGATTCCCAAATCGTTAAATAGAAAATTGAGTATGAATAATTTTTTTGGTCTTGATATTTCAGCGAAATCATTCACTGGTAATAACTATGGGCCTATTTGAGTCCCAACTTTGGTGGAAAATACATTTTAGAATAGTATATTGATGAAAAATGAATTGTTAAAAAATGAAGAAAAAGTTTTTGAGTGCAAATAATATTATTTTATTGAAAAATGTGTGATTGAAAATAAGAAAAAGAAAAACGTATTTTTTTAAAAAAAAGGGAATCAAACAAAGGTTACGTCATCAACTAGTTCAAAACAATAATAGTATCAATCATACCTCATTTTATGAACAAGGAAGAATAAGCATTACTCATCTTTAAACCACTCTTGACAAGGACTGAATTTGATATACCGTGCACGAGGTGATTGTTTAAGACCATATATAGATTTTCTTAATCTGCATGTGAGATCAGTACAACTCTCCAATGGATGACATAGATGTATACTCATGTAAACTTCTTCTTGAGGATCATCATGTAAAAATGCATTCTTAACATCTATATGAACAATTTACAATCTGATTGACTACTATAGATAAAAGATCACAAAACATGTTCATTCTGGTTATAGGAGCAAATGTTTCACTGTAATTAACTCCATAAGTTTGGGAGAAACCTTTTACAATAAAACATACTTTATATCGTTAAACATATCCATCACTTCAAA